ACAAGTGTTTGTGAAATACTCCTAAAATTTATTTTTTTTATAAAAGCTTTTCAAACTATTTATACAATAATATCTGTAATATTTTTATTTTAATAAATATTCTTAAAATTATTTATTCAATCCATTTATTTTATATTATTTCATCCACATATATTTTATATTTTTTTATATTTCATCATTTGTAATTATTAAGAGATTAGAAAATCATAACGTTGTCACCATATTTTTTTTTTTCTTTAGATCGACGTTACATGTAAAATCAATCACGATGATTATTAATCAACAACGCATAATTGTTAAGATTTTACTCACACTGAGAAAAGAAGTATTGTTGAGTTAATAAAATACCAGTAACTGCAACAAATGATTTGTTAATTTGGGACAGCAAATGACTCCGTTGTAGTAACAAATGATTTGTTACTTACGACTTATTGCACTAACCAACAATTTTATAATGGGAACAAGTAATATTGCTATGTTAATCCAACAAATCGTAAATTATTTATTTATTGGCAAAACAAAATATGAACAAAGATTAGAAATTATATACATAAGCAAATCAGTTGTATTAACCTTTTTCCAGCACTTGATATTTGATGAAACCACACATGCAATGCTACACTAGCGCGTATCACAATTACCACATAATTCAAATATAGCTCCATTACACCTAATCAAACATTGATAGAAAAAGGTTAGTAAAATAATAATTCTGTGTGTGTATTTTGCAGAAATTTGAGAAAAGAAATAGAGCAACTCATTATTACATTAATCTTTATTTTTAGCACGACGCATTATATAAAATTAATAGATTATTTGATAAAATTGAGGGGGATATACATATACAAAGGCTCGTACTGTAAACATACTTTTATCAATAAGAAAGTCTATAATAATAGTTCGTAACTACTTAAAAAAAAAGTTTATAAATTACTTTAAGAGATGCTTTTATCTATACAGAGTATCACAAGCCATCCGACTTTTTTGTAAACGCGACATTTTAGGGAAAAATGTTTCAGACAAAAATTGTATGGTTTCAGATGGGATATATAACAACTATATAATTTTGTTTACAGATAGCGCTACTTTCGAGATATTCATTCATCATTACTTTTCTTAAACGGAAACTCCAATTTTTTACTATATCACATTTAAACCAAACAACTTTTGTCTGAAACATTTTTCTCTAAAATGTTGCATTTACAAAAAAATGGTACGGGTAATCTGTGACACCCTGTATATGAAAGTTTAAAATATGGACCGCAGAAGAGTCATGTACATGTACATATTACGCTAATATGATGTTGCTATTCTTTTTATTAGAAGTTGTACTTACATCCAACAAACATATATCACTTGCATCTGCAGCAATGTATATTTGTTAAAATCACAGATAACGAAAAATGATTTGTTGCGAAAACTGTTTGATTTGTTCCCCATACAATTATCAAACAGAAGTTTTTTTTCTTAGTGTATTTTCATTAAGAAATCGACTAACCGTCTCAAATTCGCAAATAAACGGTCGCTCTCGGTATGAACGTATTAGCAAATAAAATGTCTCATAACACAACAACGTAGATCAACGACGACCGACGTGGCGTGGACGACTGGTCACGAATAAAATTGATCCGGTACGGATCACGTGTTAATCCTTTTTTTTTTCATTCTTTTCTCTTGCGCAATCTTATTCCAGCCATTATTAACCCAGCGATTTGACGGGCGAGCGGTGGTTGTAGCGATGTTATAACCGGCACACGCGCGACTGGGTCAAACTTTGGGCTCCACTTGGTCAAGCGGTCAGTACGTAATCTACCCTTTGCGATCGCGAATTCGCCTTTGTACGACGCGTGTCGGCCGCATTACGTCGCAGAAAAGTATATGACAGCCGGCTCATGGAGAAAACACGCACGCCGCGTAGTGGAGAAACGCGGCAACGAGCGAAATAACATCGTGAAAATGAGGGGAGTCGAAAGTTTTCTGAGGAACGAGAAAATCGTTGCAACACCTTTCACGTCCCGTCGTGTCCCACGCGCGATTTTATCGCACCTTTTATCAAATGTACATATGGTCTCAATGTGGAACTAAGGTGACACGACTCTTTCGCCTCGATGAATTTCGGCGCGTGTCTAATATCCCACGGGGAAATTAATTTTTCCCGAAAAAAATTACCGAAGAACTCTTATCGGATATCAGATGAGTCCTGAAATTCATCTAGGCGAAAGTATCGCAACTTTTAATCATCTACATATATACGCCGGTTTTTTAAATAACTTAAACACTTTCATTATGATGCAATTCGAGAGAGACGCAGAGAAATCCAATGAAAAAACTTGATTTCCACAAATTTTTGAGAGATCGAGTCCTCTCGATGGACCATCGCTTGCATTTCGCGCTGCACCCGCAAAACGTGTCCAAACCGATTCAAAATTCAGTATATGTAAATTTTAGTTTCATGAGAGAGGTCACTGAGAAGATAATCCCGACTCATAAGTAGCTGATAAAATACACAGTTAAGTAGTTCGATAGATGAATAAGATAGAGTAAATTTCTCGCCATGTAATGCTGCGCGAGAATCGTCGGCGAGAAATATTAGCTCACATATTTTCCAGAATTATTGTGAGTGCGTTTGGGAGAGTACTCGCCGCCACTTTCCGATCGTTATTTCGCATTTGTCATATATAAGGTGACGTGCGAGAACGCAGCCTGCACGTGTCGTCCCATTCGGTCTCGTTGCAAACATCAATGAACGTTCAAGCGATGGATCTCGCACGGCGCTGTGATCGCGCGCGTACACTTCGATAAGAACACGTCGGAAGATATGCGTTGACGAGACCTCAGGTTCACGGTCAACCGGCCGAAGGTCGATTGACGTAGCAGGAACAGCCGGTGTTTAACGAGAGAGTGTTTCGGAGCTAGACGACGTTCTGCCAACGAGCGGACGCTCGACGATATAAATTCCACGTTTTATTAATAAGACAAGTAATGGCAGACGATTATCTATGTCATTTGTCATCATTGATTATTCTCAGACTCTACTATATACCAGACATCGGTCGTTCATCTGTTTACCGCTCCCCCGCTGTCTTTAAATGCGTTCTTGATGCTTTTTGTTTCGGGAAATTCACGACGGAACGTACAGAAGGAATGTAATGATACTCTTATAATTATGTACGACATATAGTACTATGGGTTGTGATGTTCACGTTATATCACCTCTGTGAAGTTAGTCCCACCTTTTCAAAATTTGAAAAAAATGAGCAGAGTTCTGATTGCCCCCCAAAGAGTTCAAGAGTTCTCTATCAATAAAAAAAAGAGTTCCGTTGATTAAAGTGGTCAAAACACGAAATAAAGTTATGGGGGGGCCAACTGCACAATTGCGTAAATTTAAAAGGCCATAACTTTTTTACGTTAAACTTTAGCGCTTTGATGCTTAAAGAAAATCGATAGAATTTTTGGGGGGGCTATCAGAACTGTAAACAAATTGACCGATTTTTGATAAAAAATTTTCTTCTAATTGGACTTAGAAAATTCGGTATCGACGATACTTTGATGTGCTAGAACTCTTTCATTTCTGCTCGAATCGATTCAAGTCATGAGGAAAACCGTTAGAACTTTTCGGGGGGCTACCAGAACTCTCAAGAAATTGACCGATTTTTGAAAAAAAATTTTCTTTTGTACTTAGAAGATTCCGGCATCTGCGATACTTTGATGAGCTAGAACTCTTTCATTTCTGCTTGAATCGATTCAAGTCATAAGTAAAATCGATAGAACTCTTCGAAGGGCTACTAGAACTCCAAAGAAATTGACTGATTTTCGAAAAAAATTTTTTTTCAAAAATTTTTTTTCAAGGTTCAGAATTTTTTTAGAGTTCTGGTAGCCCCCCGAAGAGTTCTATCGGTTTTCCTCATGACTTGAATCGATTCGTGCAGAAATGAAAGGATTCTAACTCATCAAAGTATCGTAGATGCCGAAGTTTCAAGTACAAGAGAAAATTTCTTTTCAAATATCGGTCAACTTTTTGAGAGTTCTGGTAGCCCCTCGAAGAGTTCTATCAGTTTTTCTCATGACTTGAATCGATTCGAGCAGAAATGAAAGAGTTCTAGCTCATCAAAGTATCGTCGATGCCGAATTTTCTAAGTACAAGAAAAAAATTTTTTTTTTAAATCGGTCAATTTCTTGAGAGTTCTGGTAGCCCCCCGAAGAGTTCTATCGGTTTTCCTTGTGACTTGAATCGATTCGAGCAGAAATGAAAGAGTTGTAGCTCATCAAAGTATCGTCGATGCCGAATTTTCTAAGTCCAACTAGGAGAAAAATTTTTTTCGAAAATCGGTCAATTTCTTGTGAGTTCTGATAGCCCTCCGAAGAGTTCTATCGATTTTCTTTAAGCATCAAAGCGCTAAAGTTTAAGTTAAAAAAGTTATGGCCTTTTAAAATTTATGCAATTGTGAAGTTTCCCCCCTCCCATAACTTTATTTCGTGTTTTGACTACTTTAATCAACGGAACTCTTTCTTTTATTGATAGAGAACTCTAGAACTCTTTGGGGGGCAATCAGAACTCTGCTCATTTTTTTCAAATTTTGAAAAGATGGGGCTAACTTCACAATCGTTATATTTGTTCAACTGAGTTATGTTTAATTTTTCCACAACAAAAATTTCGGAAGACTAATCTGAAAATATAAATCAAGAAGCCTTTTCCCACAAAATGCGCGGAGATAATATATTATAACTTGTTTTCTATCAATTCTTTTCAAACAAGATTTTTTTTTATTTCACTATTGGTTTAAGTGTTATAATTTTCATAAAATTATTACACTTGGTGTTATAAAGTTCTATAATAATTTTTACAAAATTAATATAATTTTTCTCAACAGTTGTATAAAATTTTATAGTAATTTTTACAACTTTTCGTTTATCGATTTCTTCCTGTTTGGATACCGCTTTCCTTATTTTAAAATTCAAATGTATAGAAATATGCTGGATTTTTCTCCCAAGTTAAATGTGTGTATTTTCTTTTATAAGTTTGTTTGCAACGTTTCAATAACATTTTAATTTAATCGACCTGTTAAAGAACGTCTTATTGACGTTATAAATAATCGAGATAGTTTTTTGTTGCAATTTTTTAACGAAAATCCGCCGAAAGAGATGTCTAAAAGCGAATTGATACTTCTCGAAGAGAAGAAGGAAAGCGCACGGATTATCGATGAGTTTGATTTGAACGACTATCGGAGAGCGATAATGCAAATTTGATAGAACGAAAAATCGATAAGCAGGCTCTTATTCTTGGAAACAAGTCACCTCAAACACATGTTTGCTCGATGCGACTAGAACCAGCTTCGACTTGTCGCGATTCTCATATTTCTTTATTCGTATTTATTAAACTTGATTTTTTATCAAACAGCTATTACGTTCAATTGATTTTAATTGGCTCTAATCGAAGTGATATACAGACTGTTAGTAGTTTGTTTTCAGTGCTTGTGCACAAATTCTACAATATCTTGAAATTAAGTAACTAAATTGCATTCATATCATTCTGCTGTTATTACAAAAATGTTACCTAGATCCATGCTATATAATTATCGCGATAATTGCAATTTAACAATTATCATCCGTTTATCGGCCATATTGTATATGCACACACGCAATGTTTACTTTTGCTTTCGTGGTGTATGTATACGGCACTATCGAGCGGAATAGTAGCATAATTTAGTCATAGTCGTACATTTTGCAGTTCATACAATACCATTCGATCTCGCTTCAACATAGACGCTTTAAAACGCTTCGACGTCGCACTCTAAAACTTACTCTTTTTCTACCGTTTATGTAAACCTTATGACAAATTCATGATACGATTACACGCACACAATGATCTACCATTTCGTTTCCAGATGTCCGAGTCTGTAAAAGTAGCGGTGAGATGTCGGCCTATGTCCAACAAGGAGCTGCAGCAAGGATGCCGGGTACGTGACAGATCTTTCAAACTTTCCCTATCTGTCTTCATTTTCTATTCATTCTCCTTCTCAAAAAACGTATCGATGAAAAATATAATTTACGTAACAACCATAGGAAAAATATTAAAATTCTACATTGGGAAAAAATGTCTAGCTTTTTTTGTCATAATTACACAATAAAATAATTATAATCAGCAAAATTATTTCGAGGTTGGAAATACTCCTAGTGGTGCAATGACAATAACTTTATATTCATATTATATATTATATTTTTACTTAGAGTTGTTCTGATTTTGCTCAAAAAGCCTGAAATTATTACACGACTTGATACAATATCTTTGAACAACAAAGCAATATTTTTAGCATCGAAAATAATTATAACTTTAGTGGTTTATTAAACAACTATTTTTAATTAAATATTAACTTTTTAAATATCAACTTTCTTTCCTCCCTCAGTTTACAATCTTGTAGTATGCAGTAGAACGAAGATATCGAGCTTATTCACTTGCACCTATGCGTGCACTCGACTCTTTACAATATGTGTGCGCGCGCGCGCGTGTGTATGTGTGTGTAGCAGCTAATCAATTTGTTGTTTTCTTTCCGCTCGGTTTATCTTCACTCTGCGAACTTCGGCGCGAAAAACGTCATTGTCATATCGAGCGTGCTGTAGCCTAGCGACCGCATCAAAACACGCGCGCTCGTCAACGCACGACGGATGTTGCACTTCTTGTTGCACTTTTCGTGACGGCGATAACAGCAACAGTGTGCCTTTCCACGCTTTCCACGAATCTGCCTTTCATTTGGACAGATATATTCCTCTTGAAAGTCTCCCAACATGTAAACTCTCGGAGAGCAGGTGCGGTACATTAAATATATCGACGCGCGCGCGCGTATGCATCTCTTTTCTCCGCTTAGGATCCATCGAATTGGAACGAATTAAAGTAAATGGAAGAATTGCACGACACGAATTCTGGATATCGCTGTCAATTGTATCCCAAATTATAGCGCTCGTGGACAGCACCATTCGATCATTTATTCTTGCCAGCTGCAAAATTCCAAACCAATAGCTCTTCAAAAAACGAAGAATCCTCACGAAGTGCCACTAAAAGGCAGGAAGAATGTAAATATGACGGCATATACAGAGGTTGTCTGAAGGATGTTTGGAATTAAATTATCCAAGCACTTTCATGTGCAGGTAGAATTCGTTATTTAAAGATTCTTTTATTCTCATCCACAAGAAAAACGGTTGTATTTATATATGATTAAAATAAATTTATATGAATTTATTATATGATATTGTGTATAATTATTACATACAATATTTAAATTAATAATATATTGATTATATAATGAATTGTATATAATTATATGTGAGCCATATATATGTGAATGTTGTCTTTGAATAGCCACGTACATAACAATACATAATTATACATGTCTACGTATGTAACAATACATATTTATGCATGTCTACATAGAGAAAAATACCGTTGGAGAAAGAAAAAAAATACGATTCAGTTGAACATCGATATCACGAGCTGCTGCAAACCTAAGCAATGTTACTTCAGTTGTATTTGTACAACTGCATTCTTTCCAGCGCGGGCATATATAATTATTATGATTATAATTAGGCACGATTATATTGGATGTCCCAGTATCCCCGTATCACCCGATTTTTTTATAAGCGCGATATTTTAGAGAAAATGTTTCAGACAAAAGTTGTTTGGTTTGAAGGGAGACATGAAATAGCGATAGCATTTTGCTCCCAAATGACGCCATTTTCGAGATATTCACTGATCATTAATTTTCTTAAATGGAATTCTCAATTTTTTATTACATCATCTTTTTCTACCAATTGATTTAAATAATTTTCGTCTGAAACATTTTTCTCTAAAATGTCGTGTTTACAAAAAAATCGGTGGACACCCAGTATATGGCCGCATAGAGAGGCAAAATTTGTATAACTTCCTCCCATGCAGTTTAACGAATTCTGTATGCTAGACACCTATATCCAGACACCCTGTATAAACACATACACACACATACACAGACGGCCGCGTATGGGCGGCCGGGCGGTACATGTAACATATACATGTATATGCAGCACGTGTGTCGTCATTTACAGGAAAGATGGTAAAGAGTGACTTGGCCGGTATCGATTTGGCACATATTCGTCGCGCCATCGATAAACGCGCGTAAATGTTGTACGCGAAGCGCCCAGCTCTTTTATCTGTGTTGCATGCATCGGCGCACCTGCGACGTGCACGCTCTCTTTCACGATTTTTCATCGTTCCATCCAGCGAATTTTCAATTCTGCCTCTCTCGTATTCACTCTCGACGCGATGCAAGGTTCTTCTCTCTTGCAATTCTCCCATCAATTTATGCCCGGTGTTTATGTTAAACTTTTATGTATTTTGTATTAAAGTGAACATTCCACTTGGTGTGACCAAGTGTTCTCAACATGAAAATTAATTAATTAATTAATAATAAACATGTCAAGTACAGGATATTGGTATTGTTGGAAAGCTCGAATCTTTTAATCGCGCTATATTTTTTCTAATTTATAGGTAGATTTCAATTTACTTGCAACATGTCCTCAGAAACGGCTGAAGCATCATTTAGTAGCATGACTGTTTAATTTCGGGGAAGTTAAAAAATCATTTCACAGATCTAATAAATAAATGTTCGACATTGACTGTCAACTTCTCAGATCTCGACAAATGATTCGAACTGTCGCCATCAGCAGTACTTTCGTAATTACGATGTTCCAGCATTTGCTATGGCTTTGAATTTTAATTGAAACTTATTGACGACCGATAATATTTCAAATTTAAAGTAAGGGCACGTATTCGAGACAAATATGATCCCATGTCAGCTGATTCATTAAGGAAAGCGTATACAATCGTCACTAATTGGGACATTCGTCTTAATTTCGGACGAATGCCTTTGAACAAAAAGATTCAGGACACATCTGGGTACTGCCGTGCGCATCCGAGCGGACATAAAAAGTAGACGGTGTTGAGCCGCGCGGCGGTGTCCTCGCGGGTCGTTAAATAGTTTATGCTTCGACGTAGGTAATGTCAATCCGATGCACCACTGCGATTCGCCTACAACATGTGCCTATATCAACGAGGCGAGGCTAAACGAAGCGGTGCATCGGTGTGACGAGGCATGACGAAAGAAGTAGAAGAAGGTAGTGTGTCACTGCGTGTCGAGTCACATCTAACGTTCTTATCACTGGCCGAGAATGCTATATCGTGTTCCACATTTAGAGCTAAGTGCGGCTCTACTTGTTCAGTTTGCATTCGTTTAATCGGAGATCAATGTTGTCCTTATGCCGAGAGCATTTAACACCAAACGCAACACGCTAATCGGCCCTCGCGGTTCGCCGATGCTCGATGAAACTGTAGTTCGCGATTGCATGTTTCCCTAGAGAATTGCCTTGAAAATCGAAAATTTTATCGAGAGTCATAGTTTTCAGCATTGATCGAATGTGGAATTTATCTCAGATGATTCTCGTTATTATTGTTGATTATTGAAGTTTGTTGTCGATGTAACTTCACACTGAGATTGAAATAATTCTCTCGCAACAGCCTAACAATGTTCAATTATTTCAATTTTAATTGCAATTGTCGGACGTAAGTTTAAATCACTTAACTCTTAATTTAAATTTCAATTATTTCGAATTCTGCAACCACGTCAAGAATTATCTCAATTTCTAGATCATTAGATAAATTATAAATAAATAAACTAAATAATTTCAAAATATTTTCTAAGATACTTCAAGTATATTCTTAAAAATTCTGAAATAATCTTAACGACTAATTTGAATTATATCAGCAGCAATTTTAATAAGTTAATTGAAATGAACTAAAAATTTGATTGACCCAAAAAGTTGTTCAAAGATGGAAGGAAATTATTAAAAGTAGAAGCGCATATTTCGAAAATTAAAATGTATATTTCATTTTTCTATAAACAGTCTATAAACAGTCAATTTTATTAAAGAAAAAGGCATCGAATTAATTTACACCTGATAATATAACGCAGGTAAAAAGAAAGAAGTAAGAAGTTTTCATATCAAAACAGGAATTATTTAAAATCGAACTCGCTATCTGCAGCGACATTTATTTAAATTATTGATTTTTCTACGAGCTTGGTATGTTCAATATGTAAAGAGTCCATTTGAAAATACGCTTCTCCTTTTCTAGCTATAAGCCACTTGAACGTATATGTATATAACAGCTTTGACTTCCGTGCACGAGAGTTACTGTTTAACAAACCCTTTGTAAGTATATAATTGATCATAGGTTGGGATATAGTTTCGTCCATGTTTTGCGGACGGACTTGCATTACGCATTCCCAGCCGACGGAATTTTATATTCGCGGAACTCACCTTTCCGCGGAACTCACCTCATTTGTGAGTCACCCGTAGTTTCCGATGCCGTCCGTTATCGAGCATCCGTTTTTCGCCGCATAATGTGCAACAATTTTCGCATCGATCTTATGTCGCGATAAGATTATCCCGTATTTGGGTCATTCTATGAGCGCGAAGATGAGAAGTATAGATTAAGCTATCCGCCATCGCGATTCCCATCGTTTCCGCATTTGTTTTTCGCCGGGTTCGCCGCATTTGTCGCAGAGCTTCAATGACAGTCACATATTAATATCCGATTTAATGAGACAAAACGTGAGAGAACCGGGTATCTAATTAAAATACCACCAAAGTAAGAATTTTAGCATACAATCATGTGTATAATCATAATTCCTATTTTTACAAATATCAGGCAATTTTATCTGACAAGTAAATATCAGACTAGTTAGAAAAAAGCAGGAAATAGGATTTCTCTCTCGAATAGGAAATCTCTTCTCATGAATACAATAATAATTAATAAAATGAATAAAAATATCGAAAACGTGCCTCTAATCAAAATTCTCTAAAAATTAAAACTTCTACTTAAATTGTTTTGTCCATCATAATTCCATTTTTATAAGTACCAGACAATTGTAATAAAAAATAAAAAATAAAATAAAACAAAACAGTATAATAAAAATATTAAAAATAGAAATTCAACTCTTTCCTGCAACTGATATAGTTAGCGTTAATGTAACAAATAAAAATATTGGCCACGTAAAATTCGAATCTCTAATTAAAATTCCATTAAAGGTGTAGAAATTCTAATTAAATCACTTTATCGATCATTATTCCTATTTTTGCAAATATCGAACATTTATAATTTCAAAAATAAGAATTTTCTTTCTGATTGATACGATTAACGTTGATGCAACAAATAAGTAAAAATATTAAAAATGTGAAAGTCAAGTCGCTAATTAAAATTTCATAAAAGTAGAAATTTTAACATAAAATAATTTTTCTGATCTTCTATTTTTATCCGAATTTCTATTTTTATAAATACCAGGCAAAGGCAGTTATAAAAATAGGAACGTTCTCTCCAACTGATAAAATTAACTTTAATGCGGCAGATAAAAATATCGATTGCAACGTACTGTATCTATTCTCGTCATCTATGTGTTTAATTTTTTATTTATCTGCTCAGTATGGCACTTTTGTTGCAGAATGTGGTGACGATCGATCCACTGACGAAATCCTGTACCCTAGAAGGTTCTGCCGCCGCCGGAAGCGGAAAGGTCTACCAATTCGATGCCGCGTTCGGCTCATCCTCCACCACGGAATCGGTGTACGAAAATGTCGGTTCGATGATCGTCGAGGCTGTTTTGGAGGGTTACAATGGCACCGTGTTCGCTTATGGACAAACCGGCTGCGGAAAATCGTTCACGATGCGAAGCTTTATCGAACGGGCCTTGGAACATCTGTTCGAGGCGACTTCGACCGCTAGTTCCGAGACGAGGTATCGTTTCTTGCCTTCGTCTTCTTGTACTAGTAAAATGCGCAAAAACTGACACTATTGGTCGTATAAAATAATAAAGAATAATTATTAGAAATTTTGAAATTAATAGAATCGCATGATGGAGTTTTAGAACTGGAGTTTTTCCAAAACATTTGATTTTTAAATTTTTACTGGCAGCAAAGAGATAGAAACAGAAAATAGAGAATTTACGAAGAATCATTACCACAAGAATTGAAATTTTAATTAAAAAATTAAATTAGATAAAGAAATTTAATTTAATGGCTAATGAATATAGAGAGAAGAAATTATACTTATAACAACTTATAACAACAAAGAAACATATCAGAATCGGTATTGGAAACTTTCCAAGGAAATATCAACCAATCTTTAATTAAATTAAAATTAATTTTTAGACTGTGTATATGTTCTTAATACAGAAAATCAAAATTAACATTAAAAACGTATTTTAAAAGAGTAAGGCTCATAACAAACTATTTGTTTTCTGCCTTTAGGTACTTAGCGTTGCTGAGCTATCTCGAGATCTACAACGAACGGCTGCGCGATCTCCTGCAAGATGACACCGGTGAGAGCTTGACCCTGAAGGAGGATCCAACGCGAGGCACCTACGTTGCAGGTGGTCTACGCGAGGTCACGGTGAAGGATGCTACCGAGTGTACCGCACTGGTGCAGCAAGGTGACCAGAGGAGAGCCGCGGCCGCGACGAAGATGAACGCCGCAAGTTCGCGTAGCCATGCGGTACTGACGTTGTCATTGGAGGCAATCGCCATCAACGACGACGACAAACGTGGCAACGCGATCAGAAGAGGTCGGCTGCATTTGGTTGACCTCGCCGGCTCCGAGAGACAGACCAGAACCGGCGCAACCGGTGATCGCTTGAAGGAAGCTGCCAGTATCAATCTTAGTTTATCCGCCTTGGGAAATGTTATCAGCGCCTTGGCTGCCGGTAACGGACGCCATGTCCCATATAGGTATAAGATACTTCTCTCGAAGATTTAGAAATGTTTAAGGATGTATTCCAAGATTCATTGGCAATTGTCATTTCACGATATCTCAATATCTTGATACGAAAATAATAAATTTATTTTGACTTACCGACACTTTAATATTTCACTTATGAAATTTGACAGGAGCGGAAATATACTGATGTCTTACTTAACAATATAGACCAGTGAACGTGCCTCACAATGTAGACACTTAAAAACGTAGACATTTAAAAACAAACCTAATTAAAAGTTGTGTAAGAGCAAATTATTTATTTTCCATTGAATAATATACAGTCAATTAGATAAAAAATAACTTTTGTTCTTCAGAGACAGCAAACTGACGAGGTTGCTGCGCGACAGTTTGGGTGGCAACGCGCGGACGCTGATGATCGCGTGTGTGAGTCCAAGTGACGTCGACGCCGAAGAGACGCTGAGCACACTGCGGTACGCGGCGCGTGCCCGTTGCATCAAGAACAAACCGGTGGTGAACGAGGACCCGAAGGACGCGCTGCTACGACAGTACCAATTGGAACTTCAACGTCTGCGACAGTTGCTGCGCTCGAGCGACCAATCGACCATCGGATCGGACTCCCAACGAGAAGCGGATGAGGAGGCAGATAGTTTGAGAGAGAAACAATACCTCGAAGAGGTGGAGAGGCTGAGGAGAGAGTGCGAGAGCTCGAATCTGTCAGCCCAGAAGCTGAAGGAAGAGCTAGAAGCTCTGAAATCTCGTCACGAATCAGAATTGAACAATGTCGGTAAGAGCGGCGCCACACAGGAGAACCAGGTTCTGGACGAGTTGGACAAGGAGCGCGCGGAGAGGCGCAGAAAGAAGAGAGAGGCAGCAATGCAGGATGTGTTGAAAAGGCTGGAGAAACTGACGATCGGCGGCGAGGAGATTGACAATGCGGAGCTAAAGAAGCGCAGGGAGAGAAGAAGAAAGAGGCTGGAGGCTCTCGTGGGAGCACTCGAGGCCAATGACGCCAATGGTAGTGTCTTCCAGGTCTACGGTCAGTTGAGGTTCGTCAAGAGATACTTGATATCTTGTTTCATTTCGATAGACAATACGAGCGTTATTTATAATTCTATCTTATATTTTATATCAAAAAACAAGTCTATAACTTCGACTCTATTAATACATTTATAATGTTTGCAAATAAATTCTGCAGTTTACGATGATCTTTTTATTTATATAATAATTAATCTTTTTTTCATATAATAATAAATATTGTGATAAATTTTTATGTAATAATAAAAATAAATGTATTTGTTCTTCTAACAAATCTCTCTATACCAAATTTGGAACCAAATTTTCCATTTTGTTGTTAACTCAAGGAGATTTTAAATATAAGATTGATCTATAAATATTGTCCACATAAAAAAGAAAAATATTTATTTTTATTGGAAATTTAATTCTACAAATTCTAAACGCGCTTAACGAATATACTTGCGAGCAGGTCGACAGAAGACGCACTGAAGAGGATGGCGAAGAAAGTGAAACAGCTGGAAGCGGAAGCGGCGGACCTCCAGGCGTCGTGGGACGCCGAGCGCCGCGAATTGCTGCGCAGAGAACTGCTCATGTCGCAACTGTGTGACCTTATGGTGCCCCAACTCCGTCCAGGTTGTCCATTTCGCGATATCGCGGCGGTGAGAGCGGCAGCTACGTGGTGCGATGAGCTCGGTCGGTGGCGCTTGCCGGACGTGACTCCACATATCCCCCTCCCCCCAGCGGCTCCTGTCTCGTCGCAGAGGGATGTTCTCCACCCTACTGTGATATCCCCGGCCAAAGCGGATCTCAACAACAACAGCAACAACGGCAATGACAATGACGACGAGATCGCTGAGGAGCACGACGACGACGAAGACGCCAGTAAGACTGGCGAGGGGAGGAAGTTCGACATAGCGGACATCTACTTTCGCAGGAGGAGGGTGGACACCCTCTTGGCACATGCCAGAGAAGTGAAGAATAAAAATTTCGGTGAGTCCGGGTTTCATTCGCAGCCTGCGATCTTTATTGGCGGTCGTCGTCGTTTAATTTTTTTCGAAATGCTGTGAAAGTTCCAAAAAGGGTTCTCAAAGATGGTCAAAAAGGGTCTTCAAAAAATGATATGCGATATTCAAAAAATGATATGTGAGGACCATCAAAATAAAAATTTACAGTAGAGGTTACCTCGAAATCAGTCGAAAATTTCTCACTGTTAAGTCAGTCTAGAAATAAATGGAAATCGCGGAGAACTAAATCTGAAGAGTAAAGATATAAATTCGAGTCTCAATTCATGGATTTTATCTATGGCGTCTCAATGAATTTCTTTTATGGATTTTATATACAGTTGTAAGCATATATTACAGGCAATGTGTTGTCTTGATGGAAAAGCACTTCCCTTCTGGCCAAAAAATGTGTCCGTTTCTCTTTAAATTTGTCGCTCAATTGTTACAATAAATTGGCATAATACTCGCCATTTACTGTTTTTCCCCTTTTCGATGTAGTCGATGAAGATTATTCTATGCGAATCCTAAAAAGACAGTCATTGTGGCTTTTTCTGCTGACAAAACTATTTCTGCCTTCTCTAAAAAATCTCTGTGCGCCCATTGTTTTAATCGCACTGTTGTTCCTAAAGTGTAATTGGATCGACCAAAGTTTTGTTTCTGGTTATAAATCGCCGCAAAAAGTCCTTTGAATTGTGATGAAAGTCAAGGGAAACAATAGATTGGTCTAACTGTTTATTGCGGTGTGAACAAATACGGCGCGAAGTTTTTCATATCTATTTCTTCAATTAAAATTTCAGTTAAAATTACGCACTAAAGATGCACACTGCCATTAAAAATGCTCATTATGTCTGCTATCTCGCACACTTTTACACGACGATCATTCGATACAATCATTTTCCGTTTTTTAACGTCTACTGCGCGGTTCATCATTTGTATCTGCACGACTACGCTTGAAACTTTTAAATTTTTCTAGCTACTTTCTCAATTACTTTTTGCAGTTGTTTTTCAGGTATTTTTTCGGTTATTCTTTTACAGTTATGTTTCTCTCAGTTTTAATGATTTTGTAACAGCATTATTTTTCATATATTTATTTCCATTTTAATAATAACGATGACAAAACAATTATATTTTCTAAATAAAGATAACAAATTATGTTTTGAAATTATCAGTTAACAGTAATGAAAATGAGTAACTTTTAAACTTTTAGATAACTTTTCCTTAATCTTAAACATTATCATAAATTATTATAACCTTAATTATAATTTATACTATTACCTATTATAACTTTGGAATTAATTTCTTTAATCTTAGAAACCCGTAACTTTGGAAATTATATACATTATTCATTTTTGTTCTATACTGAGATTTTAAAATTATCCTTCCATAATATTTTACAAGTAGCAAATGTTTTTTATGGAGATAAGAGGTTGGATTGTAACTAGAACTTGAAGATACAAGAGAAAATTTTGTTCTGTATTGGTATGTCAATTATTTTTGTTTAAAGGCTAAAGCACCAAAAGCGTTTACTTTTACCTTAATTGCCTCAGATTGCTTTTACTTAAATTCACATCCCCGACCTTTCTTGCGCCGGCAATATCGCATCTGAATGTCCGTACATTATGATCGTTAATTACCCGCGGTCGAGAAAAGAGCGACGGGCAATTTCCCGCATGGTAATTGAGTTAACAAAGACGCAGAAGCGAGATTTCACGGTGGCAACGCCGTTCTTTCTAATCAGCCCAAGGCTCTCAGGTCCAAGGCTCCTAAATCCAAACGATCAGCATCAAAACTTCCGACTCTACTTGACCGATTCTACTGAATGGCTCCTCACAAAGAATCCCGCGAATTGCGCAGTTTTCCGATTAATGCGACGATACGGCATTTTCAGAGCTAGGCAGTCGACTGAGCAGATCCGGCGGTTCGGAGGACGCGGCGCCCATCGCGGGCGGCTACTTACAATTGAATGCCTTGAACTTGCAAAGCAGCGCGCCGATATTAGGCGAGATCAGTAGCGGTAGTTACAGTCCGAGCCAGCGGCGATCTGCGATACGAGGCGGCTGGGTCGACGAGCAGCTACCTAATCGGACCTACAACTCCTTCGGCGGCACGGCGAAGAAGCATCCACCTCGCATCCTGGAGGCCTTGCCTTCATATCCGCAAGGCAACACATCCTTCAAGTCTTTTGTTGGCGAGACAGCCTTAAAAGGGTACGTGAGATAGGTTTTTGTCTAAGTTTTAATTGAAATTTAATTAAGAACAATTGCTTCTAAATCCAAATGTATATGGGTGTGTGTGAGAGTTGATCCTTTGCTAAATTCCAATTAAAATTTAATTGGATTTGGATGTTTCTGCAAATGGTTAATTTATGAAACAATTATAAAAGTGTAATATAAAATATAAAATAAATATAAAGAAATATATAAAATAAGAAATATATAAAAAGAAAAATATATACAGCAATATAAAATTTAGTAAAAATATATAAATATAACATAAATATTATGTTAGTAGATATGTTATAATTTAAATACTTGATTTTTAACGTTGCTTAAACTTGATATATTTTAATTGTGAATTGATGTTCTTTTTTAAATTTTTCTTCAATCTAAAAAACTTTCTCAGATGTAATTTCGTTAATTATACATTAGATATTTTGCACCGAATCTATTTGAATACAGATTCTTTATGTGCAAGTGTTAAGTCAGACTGTATAAAATTTGAAAATATTTAATAGAATATCTGAATATTCTAAATATTCAACAGAATATCCGAGCAAGGACTGCCGCCGAGATTGATACGCGATAATGACGATTATGGTAACCGTCATCATCCGTTCCACATCGGACACGCTTGCTCACCGACTTATTGACGAGTGAGCTGTTAATTTCGTCGAGAATCTCAGACCACGACTGTGTTAAAGAAACTAATGGAGAAGCTGTGCGTATATACGAGGTACATAAGAAAATAGAACAAGTAAACATAATTGATTAGATCGATTACATAAACGGGTACGACTTGTCGATGACGCTTCCTTTCACTGAAAGAGCGGAAAACAATTCTTGCACTGAACACATATTTCCTTTATCCTAGACACGACGCGTGTTGATTTAAACGTTACAATTAGATAAAACATCTTCCTTGCGTTAAAGTCCGTCCGTTTGCGTTCGCTTCTTAATCTTTGTTCGCTGTTATACGTAAATAATGTTTCTAACAAACATGATTCTTTTATAGTTTGAAAAAGCAGAAGTCAAGGTGAACAGTCAAGTCAAATGTCTACAATGAGAGGCATCGTCTACAGCGAAGATGTTGAGTGATAAATTAAAATGCAAATCGCGAGACGTCGTCTCTCTAGCAATTAATATATTTATCTCCTTGATCTCTCTTATGTAACTCTAAAACTCAGCGAAACCGAATAAACAACGTGTAAAGATTACTCGCGCGTCGCTAAGAAATATTGTTTTTTTTCCTTTTTTTTCTTTTTTTTTTTTTGACACACTCGCACAGTGGACTGAGCATTCTTCGACGTTCAAGAGATTTATCAAATCGCGATTTGATTTTTACTACGATATTATAAACACGATTTCTGCTCGACAGCAGATATTTTTGTATTTAGCAGTAACGTGCGTACAAATTTTACGACGTGGCCTTTTCTCACGTACCTGATCTGATCTGCCTCATTTAACGGACCTAAAAGTGAGAGTTTGGAAAGGAAACCGCGGAACAATTTCATGCGAGTACGCGGAGCGTGCATATACTGAGTGGCGTGCGACGAAACAACCGCGTCTCAATGTGTTTTCTATTTGCTCCACTAAGAAATACGTAAATATCTTTCAGTAGTATAAAAAGAAAGAAAATTGAAAGATAAAAAAATTAATATTATTTTTATTTTAATACGAATTAAGTAATGATAAGTAATATGAACTGATATCAGAATAATATTAATAATAATATCAAGAGGAATCATCAATCATAATACAGTATTTTTATCAACTCTTTTCTTCATTGCAAAATAAAAATTACTTTTAGGCCTCATTGGTCTCTAAGAGAAGATTAAAAACTTGTTATTTATTTTATATATATATATATTCATATATATTATATATTCATATATATTATATATTCATATATATATATATATATTCATATATATTATATATATTCAAGATTAAAATTCTTATATCTCCTTATTCATTATTATCTATGTAATTGTATATTTCTCTTTTTACACGAGATAATTCATTAATATACATGGCATGTTATGTTATAAATAAATGTTTATTTATTAATTTATTATTTACTTTTTTATGATTTATATCATTTATTATTATATTATTGTATTATTTATTATTTTTATTATTTATATATTCATCTAAATATTTAAATATTTATTTCCAAGAAAGAGCAAGAAAAAGATCCATTGATATATATAAACTGTTTAAAGTAAATGTAATAAATGCTCACGAAAAATGATATTATAAATTATAAACTGCAAACCCTCTCGTTACATTACATTAATCTCTTCTAATTTCTCATATTGATGTCACAAGAGTGTTGCTTCCTCGCACTTGCCACCCGGTACGACGTTCACCGTTCTGATCTCTATACCCCGTCGCATAGGATATCCGAAATTTAGTGCGCCAGTCGGGTTGTAAAAACAAGATATCCAGAGAAACTGTGGGAAGGAAAGCCGTTAAACGTTTGGAGTCGGCGATTCCGCGAATCGTTTCGCATCAATCAGCTCGACTTGAATATCACCATTGAATATTACCGTTGATATATCACGTAGTTACGACGATCCAATTAATGTCGAACGCGAGACGTCATTGTGTCGAATCGTCCTTCCCGATTTCTCCGGTCGAACGCTTTTTACTCTCGATGAAAGATAGCCCAAAGGACCAAAGTCGGCGTGAGCGTTACTTTTAAAGCATTATGTACATAAATGATGTATATATATGTTGTAAATACATATCTCTGTACGTATTGTAAAGTGTGTGAAGTCTGTGATTCTTTTGCTATCGATAAGTCATCTGATCTGAAATTAAACTGCAGGTCGAACATTGATAGTGCGCATGTATGCATTTTAATAGACATCTACATTTAATAATCATCATAATAATAATTGATTCATTAGCATTCGAATACGTGGAATTTTCTTTTTTTGCATACAGACTAGCGTAATAAAGCTGACTATTTATTATTTGCTATTTATTATTTACTATTTATACCTCAACATAACAATTTAGTGAGTATAAATTAACATATAATTTCTCTGTTATTAGTTGAAACGTCATTTCATTGCCGCCAATGTTTAAAGTTGTTAATTTGAAATTTGCATCAGAGTTTTGATATTTTTAAAAAACAAAAAATTGCGCACACGCATGTGTATAAAATATCCTTTTTTTTTACTTATTTATCCTACAATCATCATCTTCAACATGTGTATTTACGTTTCTAATAAGACGTTTTCTTTAAAAAATATTTTTTTACTTTTTATTTCAAGATCGCTACACGTCTCTACGTGTTAGTAATCCAAAATATTAATAAAACATATAAGGCTATTGTGTGCCAGAGTCTATTTATAATAACGGATCGGAAAGTTGTCCGTTATTTTTTATGTGAAATGCGGAATCCATTTTGTCGAATGGTAGAATTCTTCCATTTGAAGACAAATTCTCCCATTCAATAAGACGGATGCGTTTTAAAACTCACGCAAAAATTATCGGACAATCATTCTCTGCAATTGTATGCTTGGTTTCAAAACTATTTGAACACATTTTCCCGATACAACTTGCAACACAGTTGATGAGAATGGAAGAACTTAACCTTTGCAAATTAATAATAAGAATAAGAAAAATAAGCAAATTAATAAATAAATAATAAGAAAGTTTTCTGACTGGTCGGTTGACTGCGTTTCGCATTGTACAGAAAATGTTCAAACGTTTCGAAACCAAGTGTTACATAAACACACGTTCTCGTTACACTATTTTCATCCACGCGATTTTCTTGCTAATGAAATGTTGCAGATGAGATTTTTTTGCGATCGATGATAAAAATACTCATATAACTTATATACTTATATAAAATAAGAAGATATGTAAAGAAGTTTTGCGATATCGCGGAGTAATTATACGAGAATATATGCATTATCTTAAATTCCTATAATTGGCACATAGCGCCTGCGTTTTTAAAAGCAAGAAAATCGAGTAATAACACGTGCACATAAGAGAACGCAGTTCTCTCGTGAAATTCTAAATTCTAAATTCTTTCTTTTCGGCGGGAATAGCAAGAAAGCGAAAAGGCGAAGATGTCACCGCCGGGCGATTTACGTAACGGTGTGTATGTATATTTCGAAGGTAGAGAAATCGATGAGATACGCGCAGATCGATATCCCGTTTGATACGATAAAAGTATATCGATGTTATTGACTGAAAAAAAAAGTACGATTTCCCTTAATATTTCTATTTCAATTTTAAACATAGAAACTATATTTAGGGTGAGAATAAATTCCTAATTAGTATCGTAAACGCATAATCAATTTTGCAAACAAATTTGGAAATTCTAATTGGAATCTCTGTGCTGTGTCTGGGAAAACTTTGAACAATTTCTACGTAATTATAGATTTTTTAATAAGTAACTGATAACGATAATCCATCTTACTTCGTTATTTTCAAAAAGTAACTTTCTCTATCCTAATTGTCTGCACTATCCGAAACGTCACAAATAGAATCCCATTTTGAATGTTCATCAGGATGTAAAAATCATCCTGGTGAATTCTGGAAAATCAATCTTTTATAAACAGGCGAATGTGTGAGATGAGCAAATTTATCTGCGACTGGATTTTGTTTCCTTGTAATTTAGAATTGATGAACTTGATATCTTCATATAACTGTGCACAGTCAAATATATTAAAATACGAAGATCGTACGGAGCGTATAAGAAGCCGTAGCACTTTCGCTCGGGGAGCAGTTCGTGATGCTGACGAAAAAGCCGCTGAGAGCGAGAGTTTCATGGTACATAAAAGAAGGTGTCATTGTCCCCGCCTCACCTCGAATTTCTTTGAGTCGAGCGAAAATATTCGACAGAGTTGTTTAATCGTTATGAAGTTCACTGCGAACGATTCGTAATTCGCAATTCGGCGAAAAATTCATTTCGCGAGATTCTTCTATTTGTAAAGAGAATACTCATAAAATTGCAATCGCAAAATTACAACAACAGAAATAATTTACCTGACTAATTTTATTTGCAGAAAAAGTTAAAATAATCGCAATTGCAAAACAGGAAGAATTATATGAAAATTATGTAAAAAAATTACGTAAGATTATAAATAGAACCTCGTAGAGAATGCTGTCGTAAGTCATGAATAAAAACAAATCTTAGGTTGCAAGACAGTTAAGTTGCAGATTCAATGATTTGCTCGAATAATTATGGCTAAGGTAATATTTTTCGCAACGCTGCGACTAAAAGTTAAATTAATTTCAAGAGAATTGAAGGGATTGGAAGTCGATATCATTATCCTTTCTCGCAAGGCAACCAACATCCTTGCGCAGCTTGTATAGAACTTGCAATTAACTTGTTGAGAAAAAACTTAAAAGGAAATCGAGACACATGGATAGTTCAACGCGACGAGGTCGTCTATTAATTAATGCATCGCGAACGTTATTAATTCGAATGTTTACACGTTTTCTTACATCACATCCTCGAGTAATTTATTGTTTTACCAAAATTAATTATTTATTCACAATTATCTATTTGTAATGGGGTTCTTATTGATTTTTAATGTTTCTGCTGATCGTAAATCTAAAAAGTCTTAGATGTGTCATTGGTCGAATAATCATTATTTTATTGCTAATTATATTATGTAGCGATGCACCACTAGCGTTACTGAATCTCTAAAATGAGTCTCGGAGAGAATACAGATTTATTAATTATAAATTTATTGATTTAGTAATTATGTGAATTATATTACCGCGGCGAGATAATCGGGAGTATTCGCCACGAGTGATTTTTCTATCTTGGAATTATTCTAACTAAAACTACGACAAAGAAAAATAATTTATACGACATCGAAACATTAAAATGACGCAATTTTACGTTAATTTTATATCTCATTCTCTTTATCTCGTTTTAATTCATTGAGATTTCATCATGAGATGGTTCTGTTTGTTTCAAGACACGATATTTGCAATGCTAATATCCAAAATTCGATAGTACAGTATAAATCAATGTGTTATGATTTGCATGCGAAGAACATCTTACGCTAAGCGAGCGAGTCAAAGTATTTTTTTGTGTAAATTCGGTTTCGTAATATAAATTACCATGCATATTTCAATTTACACGCATATGATGTACGAGTTTACACGTACCATATATGCATATATCTGCGTGTGTATATATTTTTAAAACCAAAAAGAACAATATGAATAAAATAAAAAGCCGATTTGAATCAAAAATAAATTGGCGATTCATAAATTGGTGTTTTGACACTCGAATATTTTGAACAGCAAGAAAAGTGCTTTGAGTAACAAAAATATTCTAATTTAATCTATCTCAGAATTTCTTATATGTATAAAAATTGTACTATTATATATATAAAAATTATATATATATAAATTGTATGAAATTGTATAATTGTAAAGTGTAAATTTATAACTTTTCTAAGAAGAAATGTGAAATTTTTTGCGCGATAACATAATATTCAGTAAACATTAACTAATAGTAACGCTCCAGATAATATGAAAATGTTTAAAATATGTCTCAAAGTTCCAAAGAGTATTACAAAATTGTCAGAAAAAAATTTTCATAACATTTCTAATACATCTGATGCCCCGATTGAAGACGTTCTTGAGACATTGTCTTAAAACAT